GGATGTTTTTTCATTGGAACCTCTTTCCTTCCTTTGGAATTGATTTAGCTTTGTTTGTGGATTCCATTAATTCCTCTAGTAATCTTTGGTTGGTCTCATCGCACTCACATATAGTCTTTCTATCTTTCCAGTCAACATATTTATCAGCACTGTTTTTTTGTAGCTTTTTTTTTTTAGGGCTGAGGACCGAACCCAGGGCCTTGCACGCCCCAGGCAGGTGCCCTTCCGCTGGGCTAAACTCCCAGGCCCCTCAGCACTGTTTTTTAAAAGCATTTTTTAGAACTAGCTTCTAGATCTTTCATTCACTGAATTATTTTGAATGGGAGTTGAGGTTCCTTGACTTGCCATTTTTCTTGTGTTTCTAGGGTTATGCCCATTTGGAAACAAAAGCAAATCCAAAACCATAACAGAACACAATTTGGAGTAAAAAAAAACAAAACAAAAAAAACAAAAAACCCAAAGCTCTATAATTGCACAGACTTTAAATTAGAGGCTTAAATACATAGGTGTTCTTCTACCTAAATATTCCTTTGTTTTTCTTTGAGGAGGGGTATTGTGGTTCAGGAAAGGAGATTGTATATAGTTGCAGCTAGGGAGCAAATTTATTATTTGAGAGAAATCAATTCAAACCAAAAAGATAACAGGATGAGTCAAATAAAGTCCAAATGAAAACAAATACAGCCTAAGTCACAAACAATTAGGGATCAACAGACTAAAGAAAAGGAAGGAGAGAAGAACTAGAAATAAAGAAAAACAAGTTAAAGTGAAATTAAAAAATAGATATATAATGAAAAATAAAGATAGGAACAACTAAGAATGGAAGAATAAAGAAAAAAGAAGAACAGAAGAAGTAAAACTGAGATCTAAAATAAAATTTTAATGATATATTTTAAAAAATTTAAAAATTAAAAATAGAAAATTGAGCAATCAAAAATACATTCAGAATTAAGTACGCACACAACTAATCACCATAGACTATATATCTAAGACTAAATAGAACAGCAAAGAGAAAAAAAAGTAAGAACAATAAAAAAAAATGGTTCCCCAATTTGTTTGGGGACCCTTGTGTTTCCCAATGTCCACTTAATGGAGTCTCTTAATGGAGCCTTTCTTTCCATGCTATGATCAGCTTTCTTTGTGCCCAAGGTCTGGGCAGCACCCCAGGGTGGGGGGTGAGGTTCTTCATTTCACAGGTAGGAGACATCTTTGGGATTTGTCGGTTGAGATTCATACTGCTTATGTGTACGAGGTTGGGGCATGGTTGGATTCAGTGCCCTTCTTGGTATGGAGATATGGCTGTTACCTAGACTTTCCCACTTATAAGTCAAAGTGAACGGATGAATTCTCTAATCTGTTTGTTTGGATGGCCAGAATACCAAAAAAGTTCTGCCTTACAAATTTGGAGCCTTGCAGTCTCCTCACAGCATACAGAAGGAGAGGGATTTGCTTTGTGAACTTAAAATAGATAAGAGTGGCTGTTCTCAGCTGCATAGAATCTTTGCAGCTTGCTTGGATGTGGGTGTGTCTATGGTATATTTGGAATTAGTAGCCTTCCTTGGAGGTGGGGTATTAGCTCCTGTAGAGAGGTGCTAGCTTCCTCACTAGTTAGCCCAGGCTAAAATCACCCTCAACTTAAACAACCTGTCCAGCTTGGTGTTTTTGTTTGTTTTGTTTTGTTTTTAGGCCAGTGAGATTTTAGAGGCTTTCCGGTGTGTATTTTGTTTTTTGTTTTTTGGGGTTTTTTTGTCTTTCATTGGTCTTGAAGTCTGAGCCTGGGTACTGTTCCTGATCTTTTTAGCTCAAACTAGCACTTTACCCCTTGAGCCACAGCCCCACTTCTGGTTTTCTGGTGATTATTTGGCATTAAGCATTGCACGGACTTTCCTGCTCAGCTGGCTTTGAACAGCAATCCTCATATCTCAGCTTCCTAAGTAGCTAGGATTACAGGTAGGAGCCACTGCTGTCAGGCTGAAGCTTTCAGTTTGGTAATTCCATGGTGCTCAGCTGGCCTGAAGCCAGGCTGCAATATGTCTGGAATGCTAAGCTTGTCCTTGCTCACTTCTGAGGGGCAAGGCTGCCTCCCCCAGGGTGGGCCTTTTGTTTTCACCAAAAAGGAGTTGTGCAAGGGAATCACAGTCCTTTGCCCTTTTCAAAAATGCAACCATTTCTTTAGCAAGTGGTTCAGGCCAGGTGGTCCACTGGCAGGATAGTTGCCAATTTCAGAAATGGCATTATTTGGGGCTAGGAGTAGCCGTTCCCTTCCAGATGCTGTTCTCTGGGAAGAGGCAGGTCTTGGGAGGGGTACTCATACTTTCCCTTGGTGTTTCAGCCTGTCCAGCATGTGATGAGTTTTCCCTGTATCCCAGTATGGCCAAGTGAACTAGGGCTCCCTTTCCAGGTCTTTAAGTTCCTGCTGGAGCTACGTGGGAGCCTTGAGGGCTCAGCCACCACCACTACTACTGCCGTGACTGCTGTGGCTGCTGGAACCACTGCCACAACCACCACTGGTGGGTGCTTCAGTCTGTCTGCTTAACCAGGAAGTTTATAATTTGTTTCATTGGTATGTATCTCTTAATCATTATATATTATTGGTATGACTGTCTAGATCTGAAATGCTGGATGGGAGCCTAAAAGTCTGCTTCTTCAGAGAGCTTAATTAGTTCTCCCTTATGTATCCACTATTTTCTCCAAATTTCAACTGACTTTTTAAAAATCAATTTATTCAGTTGTAAAATCTTTGTAAAGATGACTACTAGGAAAAATAATGTACATCCATAAGTGTAAAAGTAGGGAGTTGCTGGTGGGCCATGTTTGTCTGTCATCTTAAAGGGGCTGAGACCTGAGGATCATGGTGGAAGTAGATGTGGCTCAAGTGGTTGGGGGCTGGCTTTGAAAGAAAAAGCTAAGGAAGAGTCCGCAGGCTTTACTTCAATCCAAGAGCTGGTACAAAACAATAAAATTAAAAGAACATTTGGTTTCTTTCTGCATATGCACTATTATGGTGAGTGTGATGAGTTATATCACAAGAAGTGATTTTTTTTATGGTTCTAGGGCTTGAACTCAGAACCTGGGCACTCTGAGCTTTTGCTCAAGGCTAGGTCTCAGCCACTTCAGCCACAGCTCCTCTTTTGGCTTTTTGCAGGTTAATTGGAAGTAAGTGTCTCCCAGACAATTCCTGCACAGGCTGTCTTGAAGAGAAATTCTCAGTTCTCAGCCTCTAGGGTAGCTAGGATTACAGGCATGAGCCAATGACATCTAGCTCAAGAAATGGTTTCTAACACAGTTTAGTGTTTTCCTACAATGGTCCTCCACACTATGTCCCTCTCCTATTCTCCTTTCCTGTCCTCTCTCAATCCGCATCACCCACTCTCTCCAGCTCTGCCGCTTGTGAGCACAGAAGTTGAACACAGGCCCCTACAGCCTGAGTGCAGTGACTGTGCATGCACAAATGCCTGTCTCCCTGGGATTCTGCTGGAATGGACTCCAGAAGAGATTGCTTGTGCTCTTCCTTTCCTGGGAATGGTTTAGTACGTTTTTAGTTTTTTTTTTTTGGTTTCTTTTTGGTCAGTCGTGGGGCTTGAACTCGGGGCTTGGGCGCTGTCCCTCAGCTCTTCAGCTCAAGGCAAGCACTCTACCACTTGAGCCACAGTGCCACTTCCTGGGAATGGCTTAGGAAAGCAGCACCTGCAAGAAAGAGCTGTGTAGGACATGGCCCTACCTTTAGTGTTTAATCCACTTCATATGTTTGATCTTGTCTACCCATAACCTACGGAATTTCAGTAGGGAAGCCAGATTGGAAGCCCCAGAGTGCTTGAAATCTCAGGAATTCAGTCTCAAGCCTCTACTGGAGGCCTTGACTTTTGCATTTAACGTGATCCCAGCCCATTGCTGAACCTCACTGATCAAGTGGAACAGTGATACTGGCCTTGTGTGTCTGGTGTTAACTGAAGTAGCACATCTTCCTGCCCTGTCCATGGGGATTGAATAAATGCATGGTCATAAATGGTGAGGCCATATTCTGGGTGGGCTTTATGCTTCTGTAATTCAGTTGGCTAGGCCCCAGGCTAGCCAATGTACCCAGGATAACAAGGAGCCCTTGGCTCTTCTGTGGTATATTCTCCCATATGGTGTATTTGCCTTTCCCTCTTCTAATCTTAGATAACTCATGACTGTTGGAGTTGTAATAATATTTTTGTTGTGTGACACTACTGAGGTAAAAGTTAGGGCCAATGTATTTTCAGTTAGCTTTTTCATTCAGTACTACTGCATTACCACATGAGCTTGAGCTCCCAGCTCCCCTCTCTGCTCTTTGCTGCTCAATTTGCATGACAGTATGTCTTATTTGTCTGCCATTGCTACCTTATAATCTCCATCTTCATATCTCAGTCTCTTGAGTAGCCAGGATTACAAGCAAGAGCCATCACGCCCTAACTTCGAAGTGCTTGCTCACTTTTTCCCCTAGGTGATTATAAGACATAAAGGTCTACATTTCTGAGGTTCTTCTAGACCCTTCTTCTCTACTTGTTAACATTTTCTAAGTTGGATTTTTGAAACCAACCTCATAATTTATGTCTTCTAACACATTGTTGATCCATGTTTCTTCTAAGAGCCTATATAATCTCTTTTTCCTTCCTACTCCTGGACTGTGTTAGTTATCCTGTCCTTAAACCTTTTCCTTACCCTCCCCTGTGACCCACACAATTCAGTTCCTTCTTTCCAGTGCAACCTTTGATTCCAACCTCTATCCAAAATCATGCAAAACTTTGGAAATATCATAGAACTCAAATGGCTTCTTCATTAATCTTATACTCAATTCCATTACATTTAATTGTTCAATTTTATTGAGTTTAAGTACATTAAAATAATTTTATTCTATCAAAAACTATGTATATCAATATATCTATATGTCATATGTCTATATCAGTGTTTATATCTTTGTATATAAATATATACGGGAAAATAGCTGGTATTCAATATGGATCCCACAATCGCAGCAGCTCTTACATTACATAGCCGTAATATTGAGAAACTTCCATATCTCTTTGCCTCTGAGCAAAAAACTGCAGTTTCCCCAAAGCAGTGTATTGGGCAGCAATTTCACGCTCTTTCTGGGCCCGCCTTTTCATGGCTTCACGCTCTGGCCTCTGCTCCTTGGTGATGGGATTTGATACTACTGGCCCAGGAATATCAGGTTTCCTCCATGGAATTGGTTGGCGGCTGAAGTCTTGGAGTAGATACTGGCTTTGAGGTTTAGGTGGTGACTGGAACTTGGTCCCAGAAGTTGACACAGGTTTCTGCTGCACAGAAGTGGAAGATGATGTTTTGTAGGGTTTAGGCCTAGCAACAGTAGATTGATACACACTAGGCTGGGGAGTGGTGGTCAATCCCTGTTTGATTGTTTTGGCTGTAGTTGGCTGCGATGTTTTGGTGGAACCTATGAAGCATGTGTTGGCTGTAGCTGGTTGAAATCGGCTGACTGGAGTAGGCTGAGCTGTGTTAGAACAAGGGAGAGCACGGTAAGGTACAGTGGGTCTCCGGGAGGCCAGAGACTGTGGCCTGCGAGAAACAGGTCGAGCTTGAGGCTTCTCCGGGGCTAGAAAAGGCAAAGGAACCAGCTTGACCTTCCCAGGTGGAGGCAGCTCATCCTGGGTTGGTGATGGACACTGGCTTTCACTCCTATCCCTTTTCTTGACTTGAGTAATTTTAGGGCCTTTGCCCTCATGGGGAATATCCAGCCAGCATTTCACAGCTGGAGTGGACTTGATTTCTTGTGTGCTGCTGGCATTTCTCAAGGCCTTGGGAGAAGGCAACTCCTTTTTCTTCTCACTTTTCTTCCCTAGTGCATGGAAAACCTGCACTGACTCCCACATCTGCACGCCTAGGTTGGTTCGAGGCCTTTTGAAGGTCTCTTGGCTAAGCTCAGGGTGACTTCTCTTGTGCTTGGTCTTGGGAATGCTTGTCTTTTCTTCTTTTTTGATTTTGTTCCCTGGCTGCTTGGTTTCATCACATTTCTTGGGGTGGTTCTCCCTGATCCTTTTGGTCTCTTTCTGTGCATGGCTCTTAGTTTTGCTGACCTTGCTGGATGCAGCTTTTGGAGATTTGCTGTCAGAATGCTTGTCTGTGTTCACGGAAGCCTGCTCACTGGATGGGATGTTGCACACAGTCACCTCTTCCTCCAGCAGGAGCTCTGGGGGCTGGCATTCGACTTTGACCTCAGGAGTTCTATCCACACTTTCCAAGGCTTCATGCTTGTTCCTTTGGACTTGACCAGTGGAATGCTTAGTGACCATTGAGTTTTCCTGCAGGAGAATCTCATTGATGGTTTCTGTACTTTTGATGTCAGTTGTAGTAGAAACATTAGACGGTTTGAGATCTGTGAATGCATTGAAAATCTGGTTAAAATGAATGTCTTTCACCATCACAGCACTGTCTCTAAGCCCACCTATTGTTCCAGTTCATTCCATTTGTCCTCAAGACAAAAATTTTCCCAATTGGCCCTATCATATGTAGACTACTCACTAGTCTTTAAGGTTATGTTTGGCTGCAGCTGCCAAATGTCAGGGATTTCTAAAGAGAGTAGTGGGTTATTTTGGCTTTCTGTAGTTTTCTGGAAGGTAACCAGAAGCTTTCAAAGCTTCGTTTAAATTTCATCCTAATGCTTCTTCTCTGTTTGTGTCTGGATTTGCTTGAGGCAAGGCCTAGGTACTAGAATTTAATACTGGACCTCTTATTGAAATGTCTCCAAGGTCAGGTGACACATGTTTTTCTCAATTACTTCAGCATTTACCTTGAGACTCTCTGCAATTTCTGGCTGATAATGTTTCTGACTTTGAAGTTGCAATTCTATGAAAGTTTCCATTCCCGGGTTAGTTTCCATCAGCCCAAAGTAATCACTGCTGAAATCAGTTCCTGGTAAAGTGAGATGTTCCACCCAACAAATTAAATAGGCATTTTTGATCCCCAGAAAAGGTGTCCCTAGGAGATGGTCTTATGATCCATGGACAAAACTCTGAATCAGTATATGGGTTATAGCTACTCTAATTAAAACTGGTGCTAATTAGAAGTCATTATTTCTTTTTTATTTCTTTTTTTGGGGGGTCTGGTCGTGTGGCCTGAACTCTGGGCCTGGGCACTGTCCCTCAGCACTTCAGCTCAAGACTAAAGCTCTACCACTTGAGCCACAGAGCCACTTCTGGCTTTTTTTCTTTTTGCTTATGTGGTGCTGAGGAATCGAACCCAGAGCCTCATGCATGCAAGGCAAGCACTCTACCACTGAACCACCTTCCCAGCCCCTTTCTTTTTCCTTTATAAGTTTGTTGTAAGTGAAATAAAAATGAAAGCTATTAGCACTCAGATCAATCCCATGAGAAAAAGTAAATTTATGATTCCTCAAATTTTTATACAAGTAACAATTTTTGTCAATCTCCTGAACATATAACATCTTATATCTCATCATGGAGGGTGGGGGGAGAATGAGAAAGGAAAGATTTTGTGTGAGTTTGATTTGTGAGTTTCTGTGTGGTGGGGTGTAGGGGAGTGTGTGTAAGAGAGACAGTGAGTGAGTATGTATGTATGAGCTCAATGGTTCTGGGGCTTGATTTCAGAGCCTTTTTGCTTCTTTCAATATTTTTCTTAGGGCTGGTACATTAACATTTCATATGGACCACTAGGGTTGACATTTGTTTGTGAATTGAAGATGCTGAAAAAGATCTGTCTCCTGAGTAAATAGGCCACAGCATGAGGCACTGGTGCTCAGATCAAAAGTGGTCTTCCTGCCTGCAAAATACAGAGAATGTATGTCTTATGGCCTGTTGCCTTTGGGCAGCATCTCTGAGTATGTGAATGTGTGATTGTGTGTGTGTATCCCTGTTTGTATACTGTACTCAGGGGCTGTGCACTCTGAAATTTTTTGGCTCAAGGGTAGCATTCTACCGTTTGAGGCACAGCTCAAGTGCTCCTCCATTTGAACCATACCCTTAGCCATCTGCTTTATGCCTGAAAATGGAGGTCACTTTTTGAGTGTGGTTGTTGAGACTCAGGACTACATTTGTGAACTCTCTGCTATTCAGATGCAGATTGTCCCCTCCTTTTGTACCCTGCTAATCCTATTCCTCTTTGCTGTCTGGGCTTACCTTGGAAATTGGTTTCTGTGTTAGGTTGAGCAGACACAGAGTAGTAGATTCCAGAAGTGGAGACTGTTGGTAGGACATCTGTGGGCTGGACCTCTTGGAGTGTCATCACTATTTCAGGCTGAGGAGCAAAGAACCCACTCCCTGTGTAGGACACAGAGCCATATGATTGCAGGCAGGGACCAGGCTCTCCAAATAACAGAGGGCCCATAGTGTTTTGATTATAGTAGTAAACCTGGTTTCTTTGTTGGTAGGGAAGTAATATGCTACTCTCTTGATGTGGAATCTGAGATAATGTCCCCTGAACCAGGCTGGCAGACAGTGATGGATACAGAGGGACTATGGCATTGGCATCCACATATCGTGGTGTCACAGCCATTGAAGGGACTGCTGTGCCCTGGTTGAGAGTCACGGTGAAGTCTCTAAGTTCAGATGACTTCTTTTTAGTGTGTCCTGTGTACTTCCTTTCAAAAGTACTGGGATAGGAGGAAGCTGAAGTGCAGCTGTGGTTCTGGCCAGTAACTCCTGTCAGCATGGGTGTGCTAGAATGTTGGTAAAGATAGGCAGTACCCGTGAGTGGCTGGAAAGAGATGCCAGAGGTTGATGGTAGTGGCCATGTTGAAGTGAAGGCTGGAGTTGAGGCTCTGGAGAGGTTGTAGACATGTCCTGCTAGAGAAGTGGCATCGCTCACCACAGGAACAGAGAGCTGTGGTGAGTTTGCAGTTCCAAGTAAAGATGGATGTTGGAAATTGTCTGCAAAAAGCAAAAGGATGGTAAAAAATGAATGAGACTGACAAACTCCACTTTACTTGAGGAGCAGTATATTTGAAGCTGGCTATGATCAGAAGCCCTCTAATACCAACAATCACTGACTTATCAATGATCAGTTTATAAGTCAAAGCCATTTGGTATTCTTCTGATGAACTTTCCCAAGCTGTGCAACAGAAGACACCAAGTGGTTCCTGTGTTGTTTTCTGGGTAGAAACAGGCTTCTCCTTTGCTTCTCTGTCTTTCCCTTAGTCTGCACTTGTATTTGCTCCTAACTATGTCCTAGCATGGAACCATTTTAGATCTCAGATATCTTTAGAGCACTTTTTAGATTATTTCAGGAGTAAGGAAACTGATGGTCAGAGGTCAGCCTGATTGGTTTGAGTACTTCCTTCGTATTGCTATGAGCACCATGTTACAAAGGATGAGCAGATGAAAAATGCACCACAATCAAGAGAAAGAGAATTTTTATGAACCAGTTGATGTTGGTTATGAGAAAACAGTGATCCTGTTTTCATTGTTCTTGTTGTTGTGACACCTTTTATAAGTTGCAGGACACTTATAGAGTTCATTTAAAACACAGACAATAAGATAAGCCAAGTTAGACCTCTTCAGGTCTTCAGGTCTGCCTTCTGACCTGAAGTCACAATGCCTACCACAGAGATAACTTCCTCAAGAAATGCTTTTTGCAAGAAAACTGTGAAACTTTCTGAGCTTCTACTTATTCATCAATGACATATTATATATGCAAATAGTCATAATAATAAGTAATGAACAAAAGTCTCATACATGATTGATATGGAGCTAGATATAGTCAGTTCTGAAAAGTTAGACAAAGTAAAAATATGATATATAATTAAATATACAACGATATTAAAGATAATTTGGATATTATCAATCTTGTTTAGTATATTTACCAGTAAATGAAGTGATGTTATTATATGTGTAATATTAAGCAAATGGACATTTGTCCTTCATTTTAGCCAAAATCTAGCACAGATGTGAAAGTTGGTTTTGAATTAAGAATGTGTGTGTGTGTGTGTGTGTGTGTGTGTGTGTGTGTGTGTGTGTGTCCCTATTTAGAGACTTGCACTCATGGCCTGAGCAATTTGCCTAGGTTTTTTTGCTCAAGGCTAGCATTGTACCGCGTTAGCCACAGTTCTACTTCAGACTTTTCGTGGTTAACTGTAGACAAGGATCCTAATATCTTTGAACTGCCATGTTCACAGAATATCCTCCTGAGTAGCTAGGATTATAGGCATTAATTGCTGGCACCTGGCTCAGAACTTTTTTTTTTGAGACAGTTTGTCAGTTAATTGATAAGACTGACAGCAAACTTTCAACCTCAACTTTTTAAGTGCCTAGAATTCCAAGTAGCTTGGAATATAAGATACCACACTTAGCTCATTTTTGCATGCAATTCAAGTCAGTACATATGTTTCTTCACTTAAAGGTACACCACCTCTACCTCCTATCTCTCATTGACACATCTCTCTTTTCTCATCCTGCCTCAATTGACAATAGTAAGTCATCCTCTCCATGAACATGGATAACTTCATTTACTTGACTGTTGCTTTGATTTCTTTCACCAAAGCTTTGTAGTTTTCAGCATACACATCCTACACATATCTTTTGTAATTATTCTAAGTATCTCATAATTTTGATAGTATAAATGGTCCTTTTAATTCAAATTTCTAATGTTTATTGAGAATGATTAGTTATTATCTGACCTTTCATCCTGGGAGTAAGGTAACTTATCTTCTTTGGAATTTTTTTGCATCAAGTCATGTCATATAAGCAGTCATAATTGATGTAGACCAGTATTTTTTTAATGGATAGGAAGCCTAATACCTCTGTATTTCTAACATGTGGGATGCTGAGGTTAAAGAATCACTCTTGTCAGGACATTAAGATCAGTTTGGGCAACATAGCACAAATGCAAAAAAGAAAAAACTAGAGCAAGAAACAAAACCCAAAATGGTATAAAGGACAGCAAATCACCAAAAGTAAAAGAATCCTATTATTGTAGCCATTCCTATTTCTCTAAATATTACACTCCAATTTAAAGATATTAATTGTACTAGCTAGATATTTTAATTAATATAGTAAAAACAGAAGCACCAAAAATTCTTTGAAAGATTTTGGAAGTTTTCATATTTATTCTGAAAACCTAATTTCATATTCAATCATGAGAAAAATCATCTTCAACATAAGAAAAATATGACCACCCATAAAAAGTAATCACTATTAGAATTCTATTATGATCATCATGATCATCATTTTCTTTTTTTTGGGGGGGGGGGTCCGGTCATGGGGCCTGAACTCTGGGCCTGGTCGCTGTCCCTCAGCTCTTCAGCTCAAGGCTAGTGCTCTACCACTTGAGCCATAGCGTCACTTCCGGCTTTTTTCCCTTTTGCTTATGTGGTGCTGAAGAATCAAACCCAAAGCCTCATGCAAAGAAGGCGAGCGCTCTACCACTGAGCCACCTTCCCAGCCCCATGATCATCATTTTCTTTACTGGCAATGCAACAAAGACCTTTGTGTGCTATTGCTACTGCAGCTTAAATTCTGGGCCTGAATGTTATTTTTCAGATCTGTGTGTGTGTGTGTGTGTGTGTGTCTGTGTGTCTGTGTCTGTGTCTATTCAAAGCAACAGCTCTGCTAGTGGAGCCTCAGCTGTACTTCAGACCATTTGGGGTGCTTAATTGAAGATAATAGTTTCAAAGATACTTACTTTTTCAGTCTGGCTTAGAAGTGTGATCCATAGATCTCAGCCCTCTAAGTAGCTAGGATCACAGACAGGAGCTACAATGCCAGGCAGAATTAAGGCCTTTTATATTTTATCTATGTAATGTGATACTGAAAGTGCCTTGCTAGTGCAGTAGGTAGCACATCAGTGTCATATGTGCTACTGAGCTATATTCCCATCCCCAAACAACTCTTTAACTATAGAAAACCAAAATGGACTTTCAAAATTGTTTTAAATGAATGTGGAAGTAAAGATATGGAGATTAACTTTTGCTTTTTATTCTTTGAAAAGTCTTTCTCTTTGATTTTTGGATCTCAATGGACTGATTTTTAGTATGTTTTGTTTTAGCCAGAAAGATAAAATGCATTTTTTATTTGAACTACTACTGATGAAAAGTAGAGTATTTCATATATATTTATATTTATATTTATTGTATATTTTACACATATATATACATATATATGTGGGTGTGTGTGTGTGTATATATATATATATATATATATATATATATATATATGCATGCCTGGCCATTATGACTCTTATCCTAGCTCCTCAGATACCTGAGGTTTGAGGGCCATGGTTCCAAGCTGCTCCACCCCACAAAGCCTGTGAGACTCTTATTTCCTTTTAAGCAGCAAAACCAGGAAGTAGAGGTGTGGCTCAAGTTGTAGACCACTAGCTATGAGCTAAAAATCTTAGAGACAGCACCCAGACTTGGAGCATAAACCTCGGTATTCACACACACACACACACACACACACACACACACCTCCATGAAATTTAAAAATCAGAATGAAAAGTAATGCTGAAATTTATGTTGCACAACCCTCTGTAAGAATCCTTCCTAGAAATATGTTATAAAGAACCATTTCTACAATACATGTCTAAAATGTTCACATTGGAAACTTTCAAGACAGGGCTCAGCAGCTCAGTTCTCGGATCCTAACTACTCGGGAAACAGTCCAGGATGGTGGCTTGACAGCCTTCTAGGCAGGTTAGTGAAATTTCATCTCAATCACATAACCTCCTGTAGTGGATCATGACTGTGGTCACTGGTACAAGGGAGTCATAGCTGGAAGGATCATGCTTTGAGGGTGGCCTGAAGTAGAACTCCAAATCCTGTCTGAGAAAATAACAGAAACAAAGAGGGCTGGGGCATGGCTGGCACCAGTGCTATGCCCTGAGTTCACAGGTTGATAAAAGGCACTATCAAGCACCATCTGTATTCAGAGTCAACTGGAAAAAACATCACAAGAAATACAAAGCAGGAACCATCTAAAGGTGACTTCTCAAAAACTGCTTTTACCCTTAGTTTGCTTTGTGGTCCACTAATGTGTACTTTGACTAAAACTAACTGCACTTTGCCTTGCTTTGGTTAGATTGTACTCTGTTTCTGTGTGTTGATTTTAAAAGGTTTGATCTTCTTCAGCATTCCGTTCTAAACCACCTCTCTTTTCTTGAGAATGTCCTCATGCTCTTCATAGCTGTGGTTCTATCCTATTTCTCATCCTCCTCTTTATCTTTTCTTAACCCCTCTAGTTCCTGGTGAACTTTTCCTTCCAGACCATCTGTCTAGTGCTAGTGTGATCATCCCTCCTCTCTTCCTGTTTTTCTCTGTGCCCCATTTGAGCAGAAATATTTAAACACTTAAATGTTATTCTTTGAATACATTAAATTTGAAATACTAAAGTGGAACGAGCTGTTGAAGAACTCTGTTACAGATAAAGTATCTTGGATAGAGTTTTCACCTCATGCAGGTTTCCTTCTCCATTAATTGGTTTAAAATTGACACTCTGAAGAAGTCTATGGCTTCAATCTCCATCCATGATTATCCTTTAATTAAGCATAGTGTTAAAAATCAAAGTGATCCCAGATTGGCCAATTTATTATCTTCATGTAGCAGACAAAGCAACAGATTTTGTCACAGAGTAAATTGTGTGGCTAAGTTACATACCAAGAAAACCCTTTTTCTCCTTACCAGACATGCTGAGAGAAGGGGTAATATCAACTGGAGATACAAGGGATGAGGAATGACACTTGAGGATGTGTGGATAGCTGAAGCTAAAGAGCACGAGTGTGTCCAGTAAGGAGCTCACTGGATTCTGCTCACTGGGCACTGGTCACTTGCGATGATGCAAATATACGAAGGATGCCATGGTAACCCCAAGATTCTACTAGGTGGTGATAGGTTTGGTGGGAGAATGATGTCATTAGTTAGGCAGTTGAAAGGTCTGAAGTAGCCAATCACAAGATCAGAATCTGAACCAGAAGAGGGGATTGGGTAGAGAATGCCAGGAGAGCTTTAATAACTCCTGATGGTTGGTCTTGGATGATCTGAAGTCTACAAATCAGACATACTATCCCCTTTCATCTAGGCTCTTAAATGGAAGACATCATCTCAGTGTTTCTCACCAATGTTCATTATTAAAGCTATTTATAATTTGTCCATTATATTTCACCTCATAAAATATTATAATTACTTTGTGCATATAGTTAATGTGCTTGACAAAGAAAGATCCTTGAGGTTGAAGCCTTACACTTGTTCTAAGATCATTTTGTTGACCCAATTAGTGAACTTACTAGAACTTTCAAATACCCAAAGAAGAATGAAAGAGCTCTTTTGTTACCTGATTGAAGAGCAGGGTGAAGTACATTGTTGGTGCCTTGTAAGGAATTTTGTAATCTAAGGCACTTGCCTTCTAGTGTCTTCTCCTTGACATCTTTGTTCTGGGTTGTTCTAGGCCAGATAGCACTTGCATCTCTCCTCTGTTCTTCTTTTTTCTTGGATAAATCTTGATTTTGATTCTTCTATGTGTTATTTTATATAGGTCCTGTGATTTGAACTCAGAGCAAGGGTAGTCCCAGAACTTTTACTTTTTAAATCAAAGCTAGCACTTGAGCCATAGCTACATATCTGACTGCTTGGTCATTAATTGGATATAAGAGTCTCATAGACTTTCCTGCCTGGACTGGCTTAGAACCGTGATCCTCTCATCTCAGCCTCTTGAGTAGCTGTTATAACAGGCCTGAGCCCTGGTCACACTAGAGTTTGCATTCTTATACTATGGATGTTTACTCCTAGAAGCAGAGATCTTTTCTTTGCCCTGATACTCTGAAATGTGGTGTGTGCACGTTAGAAGCAAACATTAAAGATGAAAGATACAGTTGAATGCAGAGTTTACTTTTTCTGACTTTAAACAATTATTTTGCTTATAATTTGCTTCCCCTGGCTCTTTGGGCCATGTAGTCATGCACTATCTCGTTCATTCTTATGCCAGAAGCATGGAGGATTTTTCCTTTCTCTTCCATAAGTGAAATGAGGGTGGCAGTTACTGTAGCTTCCCTCTCCTTATCAACCACCACTATAGAATTCTGGGGCTCTTGTCCTCTCTGTCTGCCACACTTGGATGCAATGTCAGGCAAAATGGAGAGCAAATAGAGAAAATACACAATGATAGAGCACCTGAAAATGTGTAGATTTGAGAAATGAGACTCATGTGGTCAGGTTTCGGTTTGGTTTGGTTTCATGAAATAAGCACCATTTAGCCGCATTTTGTATTTAAGGATCATACAATTGAGTATTTTTGTTCAAAAACTTCTCAGAACTTTATACAATGAAGAGAAAAGGCTTTAAAAGTAAAATATTAATAGTTTTCCTTTTGTTTTGTATTGAATATCTCATTTATGCCACTGATTTAATATGCTCAGAGACTTTCAAAAGTTCTGAATTATCTACTCATTTTCTTCGTTTGTTTCTTTTTTATAAGGAATCCAACACTATTAAGATGTGTTGCTTTTGTTTGTTGGTTTCTATATTGAAGCTTGAACTCAGTGCTTGACTACATCCTTTAGGTTTTGCTTATGACTGGTGCTCTACAAATGGATCCACAGCTATATTTCCAGCTTTTTTTATGGTGATTAAATTTGATAAGCATGTCTTAGACTTTCCTGCTGGGCTGCCGTTAAGCTGTGATCCTCTAGTTAGAGTTGCTGTCCCATACCATAGGCACCTGGCAAAGTCTTTATCTGAGACTTGAATTCAGATCTGCTCACTGTTGTTTGATTTTCCTGCTCAAGCCTGGTTTCTACAATATTAGCCACAGCTCCACCTCCAACTGCATGTCTTTTCATGGCAATTGTTTATTTTAAAGCAGAGTGAACAAACTTTTTTATTATGTTTAAATGGTTGTAGAAAGGAGTTGTCATTCAACATGGCAATTGATGAACGTAGCGCCTCTTAATCAATGTCATGCCTTTCCACATTCTCCACTCTTCCCAAGCCTTCCCTCATTTTCTTAAATTTTTGGTTTGTATTGGTTTTTTGCAATTTTAAATATGAATCCAGTGCATATTGATCTGTATCATCCCTTAACGTCTTCACCCCCTCGACCCGCCCCTTCCCTTATTTATCTCAGTTCTGTGGTATGTACAATGCATTCTTGCCTTTATTCTACTGCTTTCCCCTGCTCATTCCTCTACTCTTCTCCCCTCTAGCAAATACCCATTTCTTGCTACTTACTTTGTTGGGCTTTGACTTAGTCTTTCTGAAGAATTATACTATTTGCATTCTTTATATCATCTATTATTCACTTATAACTGCATGCCACCCATTGTGTTTACTTATAGATTTACAGGTACATTCTAGATCTCACTAATGAGGGAGGCCATACAACCTTTATTTCTCTGGACCTAGCTTAGTTGACTTAATGTAATTTTTTCCAAGTCTTTCTACTTTCTTACAAATTTTACAATATCATTCTTTCTAATGGATGAGTAGAATTCCATTGTGTATATATACCACATTTTCTTAATCCATGCATCCATTCAGGGGCATATGGGATGAGTCCATACCTTGGCTATGGTTAATAATGCTGCCGTGAATATGGTTGTGCTGGAAGCTGTAGTATATCCATGCTTCTCCTCTATTGAATAAATGCCCAAGAGTGGAATTGGTGGGTCATAGGGTAGTTCTGTGCTTAGCTTTCCTCCATACTGCTTTCCAACTGATTGGACAAACTTACATTTCCACCAACTGTATAAGAGTTTGCTTTTGGCTACATCTTCTCCAGCATGTGTTATTGTTAGATTTCTTAATAATGGCTATTCTACCTGGGGTAAGGTAGAATCTCAATGTTATTTTGATTTGCATTTCCTTTAAGGCTAGACATGTGGAACATTTCTTCATGTGTCTATTGGCCGATTTTACCTCTTCTAAGAAGTCAGTGTTTAGGGCTTTAGCACATTTATTGAGTTGTTGTTTCTCTGAGGGTTTATTTTTTGAGAGTTTAATTTTGTAACCTCAAAGTATATTATGGATATTAGACCCTTGTCTGATGTATCCCTGGTAAACACCTTCTCCCATTTTGTGATTTTTCTTCTGTTTATCTTGTTAGCTATTTCCTTTGCTGTGCAGAAACTTTTAAGTTTGATGTAATCCCATATATCAGTTATTTCTTTGATATGTTGTGTTTCTAGATTTTTACTTGAAAAGTTTTGACTTATGCCCAGGGTCCCTAGTGTTTTCCTACCTTTTCCTATAAAAGTTTCATGATTTCTAGTTTTTTTTGTTTTTTTTTTGGGTCCGGTCATGGGGCCTGAACTCTGGGCCTGGGCACTGTCCCTCAGCTCTTCAGCTCAAGGCTAGCGCTCTACCACTTGAGCCACAGTGCCACTTCCGGCTTTCTTCTTTTTTGCTTATGTGGTGCTGAGGAATCGAACCCAGGGCCTCAGGCATGCAAGGCAAGCGCTCTACCACTGAGCCACCTTCTCAGCCCCTCTAGTATTTTTTAATACATATTTTATTGTAAAGATTCTGTACAGAGGGGTTACTGTTACATGAGTAATGTAATGGGTATATTTCTTATCGAGCATTGTTACATTGTTACAGCTCCATTGTTTTTCTCCTACCATCCCTTCCCATCCCACCTCCCCAATTCCTCCCTCCCCACCCCAAAGTTGTAAAGTTCATTTTCAACATAGTGTGTTGTCACCCCAAAGTTGTAAAGTTCATTTTCAACATAGTGTGTTGTACATCTCATTGTTACAATGAGTCAACCTGTATCCCTTTTTTATTGTGAAAATACTGTACAGAGGAGTTACAATTACATGAGCAAGATAATGAGTACATTTCTTATCAAGCATTGTAGCCTCCTCCTTTGTTTCCCCTTCCCATCCCATCCTCCCCCACCCCCCACCCAACCCTCCCCCGCCCCACCACCAAAGTTGTAAAGTTCGTTTTCGACATAACAACTTGTACGTCTCATGGTTGCAATGGGTCCACCTGTATCACTATTTAAACGATTTGTTTTTCCCTTCCCCTCCACAAATTATACCAACATCAAATACAGGAAAAGCAGTGGTTATACCTTGGGGGAGGGACATAAAAAGCAACAAAGAAATAATCTTATAAATGTGTTAGAAACAATTGCATGAAAGAAAAAAAACATTTGAATACATAACTTAGGGTTCATTTACCTAACATCAACTTATCTGACCTTTTCTGCTTGACTCAGACATATACTAGTTATTGCAAATAAGGGAAACAATGGGACCTATGTTTCTTTTGGCCTGGCTTACTTCACTTAATATAATTTTTTCCAAGCCTTTCCATTTCCTAACAAATGGGACAATGTCATTCTTTCTGATGGAGGCATAGAATTCCATTGTGTATATATATCACATTTTCTTCTCCCAATCCATAAGCTTTCTATTGATCTTACTAGCTATGTCCTTTGCCATGCAGAAGCTCTGCAATTTTATGCAATCCCATTTGTCCAACCTTTCTTTGATTTGTTGTGTTTCTGGGTCTCTATTAAGAAAATTTTGGCCTGTGCCAAGGAGACCTAGGGTTTCTCCTATTCCATCCTGTAATGTTTTCAGAGTGTCTGTTTTGACTCCGAGGTCTTTGATCCATTTGGAGTTGATTCTGGTGCAGGGTGATATATAAGGATCTAGCTTTAGTTTTCTACAGGTATTTAAACAATTTTGCCAGCACCATTTACTGAAGAGGCTGTCTTTCTTCCATTCTATTTTTTTTTAGCTCCCTTATCGAAGATTAGATGGCTATAGGTCTGTAGGTTCATTTCTGGGTTTTCAATTCTATTCCATTGGTACTGAGGTCTGTTCTTGTGCCAGTACCAAGCTGTTTTGATTACTATGGCTTTATAGTAGAGTTCGAAATTTGGTATTGATATTCCTCCAGCACTGTTCTCTCTGTTGAGGATCGTTTTTGCTATTCGGAGTCTTTTATTGTTCCATATGAATTTTTGATTGCCTCTTCTATTTCCTTGAAGAATGAGGTTGGAATATTGATAGGTATCGCATTGAATTTTTATATAGCCTTGGGAAGTATTGCCATTTTTATGATTCAACCTGTATCCTTATTTCAGCATTTTGTTATTTCCTTTCCCCTCCCCAAATTAGGAAAATGTGTATACAATATGTAGAAAACCAGAATCAAATACAGTGACATCAGAGGTTATACATGCAAAAGAAACAAAAAATCACATTGTATATTGTAGCTGCATTCAGACAACAGCAACAAAGATAAAACCTCTTGTGTCCCTGTCTCGGGGTTCATTTCGCTTAGCATCAGGTTATATGGCCATATGTACATAGCTTTTGACCTTTTCTGCTTGTCTTAGACATATAATAGTTATTGCAGATAAGGGAAACCCTGGGACTTATGTTTCTTTGGGCCTGGCTTACTCACTTACTATAATTTTTCCAAATCTTTCCATTTCCTAACAAATGTGGTGTTGTCATTCTTTCTGATGGAGGCATAGAATTCCATTGTGTGTGTGTGTGTGTGCGTGTCTGTGTGTGTGTGTGTCTGTGTGTGTGTGTGTCTGTGTGTGTGTGTGTCTGTGTGTGTATCACATTTTCTTGATCCATTCATCTAGGTTGGTTCCATATCTCAGCTATGGTAAATAATGCTGCAATAAACAGAGTTGTGGTATTGGTAGCTTTAGTATGGCTTTGTTTGTTATCCTTTGGGTAAATGCCAAAAAGTGGGATTGCTTGGTCATAGGGAAGCTCTATGTGCAGTCTTTTGAGGACCCTCACACTGTTTTCCAGAGTTGTTGAACAAGTGTGTACTACCACCAACAATGCAGTAGGGTCCCTTTTGGGACCCTCCAGCATTCCCTCCAGCATCTCTTGTTACGAGATTTTTGGTTATAGCCATTCTAAGTGGGGTTAGATGGAATCTCAATGTTGTTTTGACTTGCATTTCTTTTATGGCTAGAGAAGTTGGGCATTTCTTCAGGTGTCTATTGACCATTCTTATTTCCTCCTCAGAGAAGTTTCTCTTTTAAGTCTTTAGCCCACTTATTAATCAGGAAGTAGTTTCTTTGAGGATTTGTTGTTGGGGGATTTAAGTTTTTGACTTCTAAGTATATTTTAGATATGAGACCCTTGTCTGTTGTATGGCTAGTGAAGATCTTCTCCCAATCCATGAGCTTTCTATTGATCTTGCTAGCTATGGCCTTTGCCATGCAGAAGCTCTGCAGTTTCATGCAATCCCATTTGTCCAACCTTTCTTTGATTTTTTTTTTTGTGTTTCTGGGTCTTTATTAAGAAAATTTCAGCCTGTGCCAAGGAGCCCTAGAGTTTCTCCTATTCCTTCCTGTAATGTTTCCAGGGTATCTGTTTTGACTTTAAGGTCTTTGATCCATTTGGAGTTGATTCTGTTGCAGGGTGATATATGGGGATCTAGCACCATTTACAGAAGAGACTGTCTTTCTTCCATTCTATTTTTCTAGCTCCCTTATCAAAGTTTAGGTGGCTATAAGTCTAGGGGTCCATTTCTGGGTCTTCCGTCCTATTCTATTGCTCTTCAGTACCAAGCTTCAGTACCAAGCTGTTTTGATTACTATGGCTTTGTAGTAGAGTTTGAAGTTTGTATTGATATTCCTCCAGCACTGTTCTTTCTGTTAAGGATTGTTTTTGCTAATCAGGGTCTTTTATTGTTCCATATGAATTTTTGGTTTGCTTCTTCTATTTCCTTGAAGAATGAGGTTGTGATATTGATAGGTATCACATTGAATTTGTAGATAGCCTTTGGCAGTATTTCCATTTTCATTATATTAATCCTCCCAATCCAGGAGCATGGGAAGTTTTCTACTTCCTTAGTTCTGCTTTAATTTCCTTTTTCAGGTTTTTAAAGTTTTCATCATAGAGGTACATCACTTTATTGAATTTAACTCCTAGATATTTTGTTTTTGTGGGGCTATTACAAAAGGGGTTGCTCTTTCAGTCTTGGCATACAGGGAAGACATTGATTTTTGAGGGTTAATTTTATACCCTGCCACTTTCCCAAAGTTTTGAATCAGCTCAAGTAACTTAGGAGTGGACTCCATGGGGTTCTTTAAATACAAGATCATGTTATCTGCAAAGAAGGTGAGTTTTACTCCATCTTTCCCTATTTGGATGCCCTTTATGTTTGCATCTTGTCTTATTGCTGTAGCTAGGCAGTCTAATACTAAATTGAAGAGTAGTGAAGAGGGTGGATATCCTGGTCTTGTTCCTGAATTTAGAGGAAATGGCTTTAGTTTTTCACCATTAAGTATAAGGCTCGCTGTAGGTTTGTCGTACACAGCCTTTATTATATTGAGGAATGTTCCATGGATTCCTAATTTCTCCAGAGCTTTCAACATAAAGAGCTGCTCGATCTTGTCAAATATTTTTTCTGCATCTGTTTAGATAATCATGTGGTTCTTATCCTTACTCTTGTTGATGTGATGAATTATATTAATTGATTTCTGTATATTGAACAGCTTTGTACCCCTGAAATGAAGCCTGTTTGATCATAGCGTATGACTTTTTTGATGAGTTGTTGACGTCGATTGGCCAAAATTTTGTTGAGAAGTTTTGCGTCGATGTTTATCAAGATGTTTATCTAGTTCTCTTGAGTCCCTGCCTGGTTTGGGGATGTGGGTTATTATGGCATCATAGAAAGAGTTTGGTAGTGAACTTTCTCTTTCAATTTCATTGAAGAATTGGAGGAGTATTGGTGTGAGTTCTGCTTTGAAGGCCTTGTAAAGTTCAGCTGAAAATCCTTCCAGTCCTGGTTTTTTTGAGGGGTGAGAGGTTTCTTATTGCTGTTTCTATTTCGATGCTTGATATGAGTCTATTAAGTTGGTTTAAATCATATTGATTTAGTTTGAGCACGTCAATATTTGCTAGAAATTTGTCCATTTCTTCCAGATTCTCAAACTTATTAGCATAAAGGTTTGAGAAGTTACCCCTTACTATGTTCTGAATCTTGGTTGTTTCTGTGGTGATGTGTCCATTCTCATCTCTGAGTTTGTTTGTTTGGGTATGTTCTCTTTTTTTCTGATAAGATTTGCTTGGGGTCTGTCAATTTTGTTAATTTTTCGAAGAACCAACTCTTTATGTTGTTGATACTATGGTTATTTGACTCTAATCCATTTAATTCTGATTTAATTTTAATTATTTTTTTCCATCCACTGGATTGGGGTTTAGCTTGTTGCCCTTTTTCAAGGAGCTTTAGGTGCCTCATTAAATTGTTGGTCTCAGATCCCCCCAATTTGTTGATGTAGGCACTCAGAGCTATAAACTTGGCGTTGAGTACTGCCTTTGCTGTGTCCCAGGGGGACATGTATATTAGAATCTCTCACAACATGCCTGTCTCTTGGCAAACAATGAAGCATCTGTTTCCCTGGACAGCAAAATTCACAGAGCTTTCAGCAATGTGGTTTACCCTGAACATGAACCACGGCCTCAGAGATGAAGGCTTCTTCAGTGGAGTTTCCTGAATAATCCAAAAGGGCCTGGTCCAGAAGTGCAAGACTGGAGATGTCTGTGGGGAAGAGAACCACCAGGCTTGTTGTAAGGGCACTGGTGCAGGTGCTGCCTGTACAGAGTTCAGGGCTCAGCTTACTCAAAGCTGTGTGAGCTCACTGGACCACACTTGAGTTTCCTTCCCTGTAACAGGGAAAATGAGGACTCAATCTCACAGGGCTGCTGTTGCAGTTGAATTAGTTAAAGGTCCGGCACAGGTCAAGCACTGCACTAGAGGTCTTATTATTTAGAATTCCTAGTTGATGTTCACTTAACATCCTCCATGAAAGGAGAAGACTGTAGCAGACAAGAACAAGGGTTGGGAACAACCGGGATAAACCAAGCTGTTCACTGTCATGTGACCTTCCTTCTGTGGCCTTGTGAAAACTTCCTGCTCTGGATGTGTCTTGGCTGGGTCTCACTGTTTATGATGGGTGCTCACTGGACAGTCTTCAAATAGTAATCACTTTGCTTATTCTTTTATAATCTTTTTGTCTTGGCTACTGGCCAATGTAAAACTCAGTCCCCTTTCCTAGCCCAGTGCACTTGTTTGCTAAACGTCTTGTCTACCTGGCAGTGACCCTAAGACACCATTGGAGAGGCCTGCCAAGGCTGCATCTATGCTGGGCAGAAACAGCTAGAATAGGGATGGGGATGCCCTAGTGAGTGGAGGGTGGGGGAGAGGAGGTGGGCAAGAGGGAGGCTCTCAGAGGAAGTAAGGGGAATGACAGATCTGAGCCACTATAGGAAACCAGTCACAGTCACATGGCTGGCAATGACCTGGTAACTATGACTTGTGACAATTAGGTCTGGTTCCCAGTTAGGCCTTTCTGGATCCTTCCCTTATCTGGGATTTTAAATACATGGAGAGCGAATGGTCTTAAATTTAACAAGAGATGCCCATGTAACAAATGGACATCCTTGCCAAAAAACCATAAATTCTAAATAATTTCCTTATCTGAAATCATGCTACACTTGCTTTGCTAGATTATCTGGAAATGCTGCTGTAAGTCTTTGGAGGAAAGATAAATCATCTCATACTATAAGGATGTAGTAGTTGCAGCAGTGGGTTTGGCACAGAGCACTGCTTCCATTACTGGGGTGTGTTCCCAAGTCAGCCCTGGAAATCAGCCTTTCAGTCTCAAAGCCACACCTTTCAGTCCCCTAGAAGGGCCCAGAATCTGCATTACAGCAAGCACTTGTGAAGAAATCTAATAAAAAGAGATGCTGGAGGGAATGTGGCCAAAAGGAACACTGCTGCACTGTTGGTGGGAATATAAACTTGTTCAACCACTTTGGAAAGCAGTATGGAGATTTCCCACTTTTTGGCATTTACCCAAAGAATAACAAACAAGGCCATACTAAACTACCAACACAACTATGTTTATCTAAGCTTTGGCTGAAACAAACAATTCTGCCTTGCTCTGAGTAGATTGCACTCTATGCTCTTTGTGCCTTGGTTTAAAACTCTTTGCTCGCCTTCAACATTCCATTCTAAACCACTTCTCTTTTCTTCAGATTATCTCCATGCTCTTCATCTTTATATCATCTTTATCTTTTCTTCATCCCCGTTGTTAGTCAGATCACTGCCTGTTGTTAGTCAGATCATCTTTCTTCTCTCCCTATTTCTCTTTTCACCTAATTTACACAGAAAACTCCAAAACATGTGAGTACTACTTTTTTAACAGCCCTAAATTTGGAAGACTAATATGCAAGTATTACTGGGAGGAGACTGTTACTTATGAAGTACGTTGGCATATAATTTTGTACACCATCTAGATTTTGTTCGCAATTAATGTAGTTAAAAGTGACACTCTGAAGAAGTCAGTTGTTTCGTTCTCTATACACACATGCCCTTTAAGATTCAGTATTTGAAAAGGAAAGAATTAGAGGATGGGCAGTCCATTATCCTCATGTAGAAGATAAAGCTAGAGATTTATAAACCACTGGATTAAATCACATACCTAGTAAATATCACAGCCAATACTGAAAGTAGGTCTCTAGATTTCTAGTTCAAATATTCACCTCCCCCTATTATTTGAGCTGTCTTAATTCTACTACTAAATTTAGGGGCAGGGGAATCTAATGAAAAATCTTTAAAAGTTTCTTGTTTACCTGACATGAAAAGAGAGGAGATAACAGAGATGCAGGGGATGGGAGATGACACTAGAGGATGTGTGGATAACTGACACTAAAGAAAATGAGTATATACAATAGCAAGCTCACTGACCACTGCTTGCTTTCTACAGGTCACTTGTGATGATCCAAGTGTGTTTAGACAACTCTGTGGAAAAGTCAAGATTTTTAAGGGATGGGGATACATTCGGTGGGAGAATGATGTCATAAAGTAGGGCAATTTAAAGATACCAAATAGCCAATCACAGGATCAGATTCCCAGAAAATGGGATTGGGTGGACCAAAGAAGTAAAGAAACATTGAAGTTGAAAACTTACAGTTTTCATGAAACCATTATAGTTGATTCCATTAGACAACTTCTGAACACAAAAAAAATGAATTAAGCAGCTCTTTGTTACTTGGTTGAAGGATAGGGTGAAGTTTATTGAGGGCAGCTTTTAGGGAATGTTTCATACAAGACACTTCTCTCTTCATTTCTTCTCTTTGAACCCTCTTTTCTGGACCAACTTGGACTGGACCAGGTTGGACTTACATCTCTCTCTCTCTTTCTGGTCTTCACTTTTGTCCCCTTCTTTGTAGGAATTTTTTTCATGGAGAAATCTTGATTTTACATCCTTAACCTCATGGATGTTTCTTCCTGTCAACTTTCAGAATCAGAGGTCTTCAGTGACCTGATGCTTTGAAAATCACCTCAACACTATAGAAGCAAACATTAGAGAGGTAGAAGACCAAGTTGACTGCAGACTTTCCTTCTTTCTGACTTGGCCCACAATTCTTTTACCCATACTTTGCTTCTTCTGGCTTTTCGGACCATGCAAACACCCATTCTCTGGTTCTTTCATATGCCAAACACATTGATGGTATTTTCTCTCTTCTATTAGTGAAACCAGTGGGAACAGTTACTCCAGATTCCTTCCTCTTAGAAACAGACTATGCAATTGCATTCTCTGTCATTCCTTGGTGCCAGGTCAGGCTAAAATGGAGAGCAAAATAGAGTACACACTGGAAAGTGAGGGGGTGGGAGAAAATATAGATCTTTTCATTTTTATTCCATTTTATGTTTTGTAAAGTTCAGGCCTACCAACAGCAGACAAACACAGTAGGCTGGGGAGTGGTGGTCAATCCCTGTTTGATTGTTTTGGCTGCAATTGGCTGTGATGTTTTGGTGGAACCTATGAAGCATCTGTTGGCAGTAGCTGGTTGAGATCGGCTGACTGGAGTAGGCTGAGCTGTGTTAGAACAAGGGAGAGCGTGGTAAGGTACAGTGGGTCTCTGGGAGGCCAGAGACTGTGGCCTGCGAGAAACAGGTCGAGCTTGAGGCTTCTCTGGGGCTAGAAAAGGCAAAGGAACCAGCTTGACCTTCCCAGGTGGAGGCAGCTCATCCTGGGTTGGTGATGGACACTGGCTTTCACTCCTATCCCTTTTCTTGACTTGAGTAATTTTAGGGCCTTTGCCCTCATGGGGAATATCCAGCCAGCATTTCACAGCTGGAGTGGACTTGGTTTCTTGTGTGCTGCTGGCATTTCTCAAGGCCTTGGGAGAAGGCAGCTCCTTTTTCTTCTCACTTTTCTTCCCTAGTGCATGGAAAACCTGCACTGACTCCCACATCTGCACGCCTAGGTTGGTTTGAGGCCTTTTGAAGGTCTCTTGGCTAAGCTCAGGGTGACTTCTCTTGTGCTTGGTCTTGGGAATGCTTGTCTTTTCTTCTTTTTTGATTTTGTTCCCTGGCTGCTTGGTTTCATCACATTTCTTGGGGTGGTTCTCCCTGATCCTTTTGGTCTCTTTCTGTGCATGGCTCTTAGTTTTGCTGACCCTGCTGGATGCAGCTTTTGGAGATTTGCTGGCAGAATGTTTGTCTGTGTTCCCGGAAGCCTGCTCACTGGATGGGATGGTGCACACAGTCACCTCTTCCTCCAGCAGGAGCTCTGGGGGCTGGCACTGGACTTTGACCTCAGGAGTTCCATCCACACTTTCCAAGGCTTCATGCTTGTTCCTTTGGATTTGACCAGTGGACTACTTAGTGACCATTGAGTTTTCCTGCAGGAGAATCTCATTGATGGTTTCTGTATCTTTGATATCAGTTGTAATAGAAACATTGGATTGGATGAAATCTGTGAATGAGTTGCAAATTGGTTAAAGTGGATGTCCTGCAAGTGAATGGGCTGTAAGTCTATTGCTACATTCAGCTCCCTTTTCAAGTGTGCCTTGGTCCACTTTTCAAAAGAGACCCTACCAAAAGTGTAGTTTTCACCTGGGCCCTAAGGATTATCATAGGTCTGAAACTGGTGAAGGCGAGGTACTTCTAAAAGGAATGGTGAAGCGTCCTGGCTTTCATGGTTATCTAGAAGGCAACCAGAGGCTTTCAAAGTTTGTCTAAAATCATCCAAATACTTATTTTCTGTTTATTCCTGGCTAGGAGCTGGAGGCGAGGCCAAGATGTTAGGAGAATTTTCGATTGGCGATATAACCTAAGTGTCCCTCAAGCTCTGGTGGCATGGGATTCTCAATTATTTCAGCATTGATTCTATTGTAGATCTTGGGGCTCTCTGGAATTTCTGACAAACAAAATGTCTAGCTTGAAAGTTGCAATTCTAGGGAAATATCCGTAGCTGGCTAAGGTTCCATCATTACAAAGAAATTAGTCACTACTAAGTGAGATGCTCAACCCACACACCAACCAATTAAGCAGGCATGTTTCATCCCTGAGCAAGTTGTTTCTAGAAAAAGGTCTTAAGGTCCACGGACAGGACCATGAGTTGGATGGAACATTTGTGATGACTGCTCTAGTTTAAACTGGTGATAATTTGGTCATTGTTTCTTATTTTCTTTCATTTCATAAGATGTTTGTAAGTGAAATAAAAATGAAAATGATACCAAAAAATATAAAATGATTTGAACTTCAGGAATGGCCCAGGGGTAGATCACTTACATACTATACTCTTGGATCTATGTTCAAACCCATGAACAACAGAAAAAACTAATAAGTTTATAAAACCTCACATTCTTTTTGTTTGTTTGTTTTTTTGGGTCCAGTCATGGGGCCTGAACTCTGGGCCTGGGCGCTGTCCCTCAGCTCTTCAGCCCAAGGCTAGCGCTCTACCACTTGAGCCACAGCGCCACTTCCGGCTTTTTTCTTTTTGCTTATGTGGTACTGAGGAATCGAACCCAGGACCTCTGGCATGCAAAGCATGCGCTCTACCACTGAGCCACCTTCCCAGCCCCAAAACCTCACATTCTTATAGAGAAAACTCAATTCTTGCTACACTTCTGTGATTTTATCATGTTTCATCAAGAACTTAGAGAAAGAAAAAGGGAAGGTCTTGTGTTTTGTGTAATTTTCTTTCTGTTTGTGTGCACACCTGCTTACTGGTTCTGAGGCTTAAACTCAAAGCCTTTCCACTCAGGTCAGGTACATTAACATTCCAGCTAGGCCTCTAGTGTCCATGTTAGTGAACTGAAGTTAAGTTGCTCAAAATAATTTCAGGCTGGACAGGTGCTGGTAGCTCATACCTATAGTCCTAGCTATTCAGGATGTTTAGATCTGTGGTTGAAATCAGCCCAGGCAGGAAAGTTGGTGAAACTCTTCTCTCAAATTAATCCCAGAAAAAGCCAGAAGTGGTGCTGTGGCTCAAGTGGTAGAGCACTAGCCTTGAGCAAAAAGACCCCAAGGAGAGCATCCAGCAGAAAAAAATAGCCTCAAGACTGGCAAAATAAAAGAGGCTAACCAGCACAGCCATATTTATTTCAGCACTATTCACTATAGCCAAGGTAAGGGATCAGCCAAATGCCCCTCAGTTGACAAATGGATGAAGAAAGTGGGTTATACATACAGAATGGAATTTTACTCATCTGTTAGAAAGAATGATATTGTACCATTTGTAAAGAAATGGAAAGGCTTGGAAAAATTATGTTAAGTGAAATCAGTCGGCACAGAGAGACAAAAGATGCATATTTTCCCTTATATGTAAAAGCTAGTGTTGACTTTACAAACTCACAAATAAATAAATGGAGTGATATCCAAGTATGTAAATATTAAGGGAGATCTCAAATAGTATAATTCCTTAGAAAACCAAAATCAAAGTTCAGCAAAATAAAACACCAGGAAAGAGGCAGGATAGGCTCCAGGGGAAAGAGCTAGATGAATAAAGAGAAAAGGGGGAACGTGCAGTCAAGAATCTGATGTAGGGCTGGGAATGTGGCTTAGTGGTAGAATGCTTGCCTTTCACACATGAAGCCCTGGGTTGGATTCCTCAGTACCACATACACAGAAAAAGCCGGAAGTGGCACTGTGGCTCAAGTGGTAGAGTGTTAGCCTTGAGCAAAAGAAGCTCAGGGGCAGTGCCCAGGCCCAGAGTTTAAGCCCCAGGACTGGCAAAAAAAAAAAAAAAAGAATCTGATGTATATGATACAAAAAGAGTAAGGAAATGAGTGGTAGGCGAGGGATGAGTGAGAAGGTTGAAAGGGGTAATATTAATAAAGATACATTGTATTGATAACTGCTTTGTTAAATGGTAACTTCTTAGCCTGGCACCGGTGGTTCACACCTGTAATCCTAGCTACTCAGGAAGCTGAGATCTGAGGATCAAGGTTCAAAGCCAGCCCAGGCAGGAAAGTCTGTGAGGCTTTTTTTCAGGCTGGCTTTGAACCTCAGTTCTCAGATCTTAGCCTCTTGAGTAGCAAGGCCAAAGACAGAAGCCACAGATGCCCAGCTCAACAGGGGACTTCCCATTCATGAAATACACAAAAAGTACATATTTTGATCCTTCTACCTTTAGACAGAATCTCTATAAACACAATCAAATTAAGAAAAACTTACGTGTCACTACCACCAACAATGTTTGAAATATTTTCCAAAGGAACCAAAGAACCAGGTCAAGGAAGAGGATTAATGAGAGGGGTTGGATTTTGAGGACAGTAAAAAGCATGGCCTCCCTGAGTGTGCTTTGCTTGTTACCTAAGTGCAGAACAGCGGTCAGCCATCAGTTCCATACTTCCTCACTTATTTATTTCAATGTATAGCAGTATTGAAGTTTGAACTCAGGTTAGTGTCCTACCACTTGAGGCATGTCCTCAGCCCTCTCTGCCTTATGCAGAGTGAAAAGGGCGAGCACTGAGTGAGGATAGTTGTTGAGGCTTAGGGCTTAAACTGTACCTATATGTGAACTTACCACTCTCATCTCTCCTTTTGGATGCTACTAATCCTACTCCATTTTGCCTTTTGTACTTACCTTGAAAATTAGTTTCTGTGATGTGTTGAGCAGACACAAAGTAGCAGGTTCCAGATGTGGAGTCCAATAGTAGAACATTTGTAGGCTGAACCTCTTTTGACATTATCATTATTTCTGATTGAGGACAGAGGCCCTACTTCCTGTGTAGGACACAGAAACATAAGACTGAAGAAAAGAACCAATTGGTTTTCCTTCTTGGTATGCTAGTAATTGTCTATGTCCTTGATTTGGAATCTAAGATGGTTATCCCCTGAACCAGGCTGGCATACAGCAATGAATACAGAGGGACCATGGCATTGGCATCTGCAGTTTTAGAATACTGGGATGTCATTGTCATTGAAGACGCTGATGTGCCCTGGTCAATGAGAGTCTCAGTGAAGTCTTTAAGTGTAGATGGCTTCTTTTTTGTCATTTCCTGTGTACTCTCGTTCAAAAGTACTGGGACAGAAAGAAGCTGAACTGGAAATGTCGCTCTAGCTAGTAAACCCTTAGTGTGCTAGAATATTGGTAAAGATAGGCACTAGTCATAAATGACTGGAAAGAGGTACCGGAGATAGACGGTAATGGCTATGCTGAAGTGACAGCTGGAGCCAAGACTAGGGAAGCTGTAGACATTTCTTATTAGAGAAGTGGCATCACTCACCACAGGAAGAGAGAGCTGTAGTGAGTTTGCAGCTCCAAGAAAAGATGAACCATGGTAATTACCTCTAAGAAGCAAGAGGTGATGGAAAAAATGAATGTGACTAAGAAACTCTCACTTTATTTGAATAACAGTATATTTTAACATGGCTGTGATCAGGAACTCTTTAATACCAATAACTACCAACATACCAAGAAGCAGATAAGAAGGGTTATAAGTGCTGGAGCCATTTAGTATTCTGATGAACCTTCCCAAGTTGGGCAACTGAGAGCTCCAACCAGTCTGGTTCTTACATTGTTGCCTTGGGGACTAGGAATGTGGCTCAAGTGGTAGAGTCCTTGCGTAGAATGCATGAGGCCCTGGGTTCGATTCCTCAGTACCACATATACAGAAAAGCCAGAAGTGGAGCTGTGGCTCAAGTGCTATCCTTGAGCAAATGCAGCTTAGGAACAGTGCTCAAGCCCAGTTTAAACCCCAGGACTGGCAAAACCAAACCAAACCAAACATTGTTGCCTTGAGTAGAAGCAGGCTGCTCCTTTCCTGCTCTATCTTTCCCTGAGTCTGTACCTGTACAAACGCATAACTATGTTCTAGCATGAAACATTTTAGAACTCAGATATCCTTGGAGAATTTGTAACATACCATTTCAGGAGTGATGAAACTGAGGTCCAGAGGTCAGCCTGATTTGTACATGTACTTTCTTCATATTAGACTCCTTCTTCAGGACTATGTGCTAAGCAATGACCAGAAGCAGGGAGCAAGAGAACTTTCTGTTGTCAGTGGATGTTGTTCACTAGACAAGAGTGATGATGTTTTTATTGTTACGCTTGTCGTCTCGTCTTGTACAAGTCGCAGGCCGTTTTTAGAGTTCATTTAAAACACACACAAATGTTAAGTAAAATCAAACCACCAAAATAATGGTGACTACCTAAATGTTAATTTCTCAAGAAATGCTTTTTGGAAGAAGAATGTTAAACTTTCTGCACCTCTAGCTACTCATCAGTAATATAGCATATATAACAATAGTAATAATGATGATAATAATCATAATCATAATGAATAAATGTAGCATATTATACATGACATGGGAAAAGATATAGTAAGTTCTGAAAATATTGATAAAAA